GTCGTCCTCAATGATATCTCAATCAATAAATTAAGAAATCAGGAAAAACAATTCTTGTCCCTTATGTTTTACCACAGAGTTGCAGAAGCTTAGAGACGAACGATGTAGTGTTCAATGGAATCCAATACGAAAAAGTAACTGTTGGGGACGATTCTTCGCTCGATATGACAAAGGACATATCTACTCTACTCCACAGTGGCGGTGTTACTATGAAGAGGCGCTGACCAGGGATCGCAGGCGATATGACACAACAAAACGATCATCTTGTTATCACACAACACACAGCGAGTTGGAAAGTCTCACAAATGAAGGTAAATTTGGAAATAAACGAGATGGTGTTGTTCATTTCGGTAATTCTTTGATCCAATCTATGGCAAATTCAATTTAGTAGCTCTGATATCTTCTGTGTCCATATTGATCGACACGTTGTTATTTACTGTTAGGGCAGCGTCCACACTACGCCGGAGAAATTTGAATACGCAGCTTTATTTCTACGGTTAGGCCTACCGTCCACACTTATCCGTCACGAAAACGGAGGTTTTGGAAAACTCTCTTCAAACCACAGGAGTTTGAAAACGCCGGCTTCTCGTTTTCGTGTCGACGGAAAACATTTATAAAACAGAGCTTTTCGAAAACGATGGCTTCACGATAATCACGTGATTTCCCTGACCGAGTTTTCTTCGCACACAAATCCAAAATGGCCGGTGGTTGTTGCGATTTTAAATTCCTCCGGCGTAGTGTGGACGGAAAACATTTGAAGCGTTTTTAGAGTGAAACCTCCGTTTTCAAATTACACCGGCACAGTGTGAACGGGGCCTAAGGCATTTACAAACGTGTCTACGGCAGCGACGCAATGTTACAAAGCAGCCATATAAACGTACGTTAAAACAGATTTAAACCGCGTTCTTTCCAACTTGGCACAATAACTACAGAGAGTTTCACTCACGTGTGGCCAGCAACCATGCAAACTTGCTGGAACACTGAAAAGAAATCGTCTACCTAAGGAAGAGTCAACTTCCACTGGATCGGTTGGGAAACCAACATGGCCGCCGTTTCATTGTTTTGGGACACCAATATGGCTGCCATGACGTCATATGAAAACACAATTTATTGTTTGTTCCTTCTTGTAATAATACCAGTTTCAAATTAAAACGGGTTTCATGGACTAAAAACTAAAAGGAGCTAAACGTTTACATCATTTCGTCCACTTATACCTTAGACAGAAATTGTCGACCTCTTGGAATGGGGAGCGGCGCCATACTTGACTCGCAGATTACAGCTTCTTCTGAATACTCTTCTCCTCTCGCACCTCGTGGAGCGCGGCTGAATTCTCAAGTTTATGCGGGTTCCTGGTCGGCACTTGTTCTTGATGTTAACCAGTGGTTGCAGGTTGATTTCTTACAAAACGTTACGTTGTCTAAAGTGGCGACTCAGGGAAGACACGGCTATCCCCAGTGGGTGCTAAGTTACTTGCTGTCTTACAGTATGGATGGAAGCGCTTTTGAAACTTACAAGCAGTGTGGTGGAGATAAGGTGAGCTAACACATACATGGTTGAAAAATTGTATGGCCTGGGGACGAGATTAGTCGTGCAAACGCTTGGAAGACTATTTGGGGACCGGAAGAACGTCGTGAGTTGGTGTGTGATTTTGTTTTTGTCTTATGTTTGCGAAAATAAGAATGAAAATCCTTCGTAAGGAATGTTGAACGTTTGGCTCGCAGCGACAATTTAATGTAAAATAGAAAATTGCCTGCATTCGTCCCAACCACATGTTCTCTAACTGGTCCGTTATCTTTTACGACTAAGGATGACCAATCCTAATATCACCACAGCATCCATTGTTCACTTCCGCGTTTACTCCATAACTATGCTTCAAAGCGAGATTAAGCAACGGTAAGGTCAAGCGAAGGAACTTCACGCAAGATTTCATAGCCAGACCAAGTTTTAAACGGTGGTACAAAACGAATTTGCTTAATGAGACAATCTAATGTTATTGACATTTTGTGGCTAGGAAATATGTAAAATAGGTGCAGACACGTTTACGGAAGTGAAAACTTTGTGGAGTTGCATTTGTCCTAAGTTTTGGTAGAGCGAACAAATTTTGTCAGCCCAGGATGGGCCATAAAAGACAAGAAAATAATTTTCCTCGTATTGTTGCTTTCATGCCTCCCCCCTCCCCCCTCCCTCCAATACTTCCGTAAATTTCGAATACGTGTGTATCGCGAAGGATCTTAGACTTTGACCCTATTTAAGGATGAATCAAATAAAAATTGATACCCTAATTAAGCCCCAAAACCCGAGCAATGACACCCTATTCCAGGGAAAACAAAAATTGAGAATAGCGTGAACGGTTCAACTTTATTTCGTTTCTGTAACATTGGGAATTTATGAATACAGTCAAACCTCCGGTTGCGACCACCTCTCGTAAGCGACCACCTCTCCTCAGCGACCAGTTTTCCAAAATACGAAAAGTTTCCAAGTCGAATCATTATATTTTGAACCTCTTGTTAGCGACCACCTCTCGTAAGCGACCTCCACGAGCTTTTCTCGAAATTGACTTTTCACATGACTAATAAAACATTTAAAATATGGGGTAAGTCTCTGCAGTTACCACATGCTAACGAGGCAAAATTTTGATCCAATATGGTGTAAGCTCTCGTAAGCGACCACCTCGACTTGACATTTTGGGTTGTCGCTTACGGGAGGTTCGACTGTAGTTTAGTTTTAACAAATCATATGTCTTCCATTTGACTGGGAATTTACGCACTGCAATTTTAGCTGATACCCTATCTAAGAATCACACCTGGAACACAATGCGAACAGGGAATAAAATGATACCCTATTCAAAGACCGAGAACCCCAAAGCCCTACACTATCCCGCGGAACATACCTATAGAACAAATATATGAGAGTAACCCCAGGGGTTTGCATGGCCCATCTCTCTGAAATAATACTTGCAGAATATCATATTATTTTACCTCCTCAGATTTTCAGTGCGAACTGGGATCAAGACACAATTGTTTACAACACAATAAATCCTGTAATTTTTGCGCGCTACATCCGGGTACTACCACAGACCTGGTCCGACCACATATCCATGAGAGTGGAGTTCTACGAATGCGACGGTGACAATTCTTAAATTCTACCAAGTTTTAACCTACTTGTAACTATTAAAATAGGTTTAGATCTGCTATATAGAGCGGTTTTAATTAACTGTCGAAAGTAACTTGGCAGTTATATTGGATTTGGTTTTAGTACGGTTTGAGATCGGCTGAGTGGTCTAATTGGTTTGTAGCTGGTTTGATTTTGGTCTTACGACACTCAATTGAAAACCACTCTGGAATCTCTCAATATCTAGATCCCAAATTGTAACGATATCAAATCTCTGCAGACCAGGAAATTCCTGACTGGTATTGACCCATGGTCCACTGGTAGCAGTGGCGTGCGTACATGTAGAAGTCTCCCAAGTTAGGTGGGGAGAGAAGTTCTACGAATAAAATGTCTCGCAACTAGTTCATACATCTTAAGTCACGACAAAAAACCCTGTAGCCCTAACACTCTAACCATTAAACAATTTTAGTAGTAGTAATTGATCCAGATATCTATTACAGTTGAACCCCGATATTTAGAACCTTCAAGGGAAAATAAAAACAGCTCGAAATAGCGGGACTTGGAAATTGTTTAACTTCGATAGTAAGTGCCTTTAATGGTCAATCCAGTGTCGACTACTGGAAATGGTTTTGAGTTTAAAATGATTGGCAATTCGAAAAATGTATTGCAATGTGACGCTACCATGTTCTATGATGAAAAATTGTCTATCCTTCCCGCAAAGGTTTTAGTTTCATCCCATATAAGACCTTCTAAGACCTTGACGTTTTTCAATAGCAAAACTCAATGACAGATCTTTCTGTAGCTTGCGAGCTGCTTCACCTTTGAGTCACTCGCGCGAGTGGCGAAGAGCAAAGCGATCCGGGGGGGGGGAGGAGTCTGATATTTCATACGATTTCACATAATATTAAAATTTATTCAAACCAAGATGAATCATAATTTAAACCAGTTATTTACGCGACAAATCCCAAGTCACCTGGTCCGAACGGAGCAACAACGTCCATAATGAAATTATTGATGGTTTAACTGGTCCTATTTTTTCACAACTTTTCTGTCTCCTCCCAATATAAATAAACCAAACTAGGCATTTGTAGGACTCTCAGTGGACCATCCCAGCCCACTACTTAGTAGCTTTCGTTCTGTTACACTGATCTATAGGTTATAGCTATGACGTATTCGAAGCGGAGGAGCTGATAAAAGATGCCAAGTATCTATGGACGTTTGACGACAAGGTCGATATCAAAGATCAACAAGGAACGACTTGGGCTCAACAAAGTAGTTTCTTGCAGACAACTGGAGGCATGCGAGGCCAAGCCGTGAAGACTGAAGGAGGATCTGGTCCCATTCTTCTAGCTCACGACACAAGCTATTATTTATCAAGACCCTCACATCACGCTGCTGTCACTGTCAGTCTGTGGCTCCTCTATCAGAGCACTGGTGTTAGTCAGACGTTCCTGGCTGCTGGGGATCAAGAGAACTCAGACAGAGGCATTCATCTTCACCAGGAGGACGGAAGTAGGGAAGAGCTGACTTTCAGTACAAGGGTTGATACAAAGATGTGTTTAGTTAAGTTTGGAGTTCCTCAACGGATTTGGACACACTTAATATTTACATGGTCAGCTATTAATCATGTTCTGACTTCGATCACTGCCTATCGTGATGGAAACATCATAACAGATATGACACGTTTTTGCACCGACGGTTCCTATCCTAACTTAAAGAGTAACGTCATCACGTTAGGCTCTTCAACTTTACCGACAGCTTCCATCGATGACGTCATGGTTTTAGGAGTATCTCTTTCTACGTCTCAGGTGGACAAATTGTTTAGATACTACAAAGGTAAGCATGGCCTTTCCTGTATTTGAAGGTTGTTTATAGGCTTAAACTTATCCGCACCATGTTGGAAAATTGGGCTGGGACACTCCACGGTATAGACCCAAACAGGGCAAGAGTCCCTCTCTCTGAGCTATGAACGCTCTGACTAACTTAAAGACACCAATCTCCGTTTTGTACGCTTACTCTATTCCGCTGCGAATATTGTAAACTCTCTTTTTAGCTAAAACTGCGCCTCGTGTCCCCTCTGGCACGCGGATCCTTGCTTCCAGAAGAGCGCCCATCTTGGCCGTGGTGTCGCCGAGTTGCTATAACTTGCTTCTAGCATTAATCTTTCTTACACATAGATGAAGGTTGTTTGCTCTTAAAAATTTCCCACATACTATTAAAATAGTTATAAAACTCCGTCAACACTTACGCACAACCCCGCGAATGAGGAATATAAAATATTACTCTTCAGAAAATAAACCCAATGGCTAGGAAGTCCTTTTTAAACGTGCATGACAGATATATATCGTAAAATTAAGGTGGCTTGCAATACTTGGAAAGGTGTTAAAGAAGATTGATGTGACCGGCCTCTTGCAAAACGTAAAGTATAGTGAGATTAACCTTTTCTGCTATTAAGCTGTACTAATGAAATTGTTTGTTGAAAGATAAAACAGTTATCCTGCACAAACTTGTGGAAATCTTCTTTTTTTGGGTTCGACCTAGGGCCTCATTAGCCAGAAAGCAGCAGACACTATATTTTTAATGGTTATCCCGCGAGAGGGAGATAAAGAGACTGTTTTTCTTTCTTTCGTCTTTCAGGCGATGCTAACCTTCAAGTCAACGTTAGTGTAGAATTGACTGGTGAAACATTTCACACAGAGTTGACGGTAATAGGTTCGGAATTGTTTACGAACAAGTCGCATTGGATTGAGGCTCAGGTGCGTACATGTGTGCTTCCAATAAAAAGACTGACAAAAACTACAAAATGATTTCATGAAGACGAAACTTATTGACGTATAATGCAAGAACAAGTTCAGTCAACCCAACAAAAATGCAAACAAAACTAATTGTATAGCTACTGTTCGCAGTCAGGTGAAAAAAAAACAACAACAACAACAACAACAATTTTACAAGATCTCTGCTGAAAGTCAGTATACGCAGTTAATTCTTAGACCGGAATGACACCTGGGATCTCTTGAGAACTAGAAAAAATTCTTGGGAATTTTCTAGGTAGCTCACCTTTGAGGTCGCTCTTGTGTTCCCATAGACTTCACAGAAATTTTTGGTTTTGGTTCCATTATTACTTTATTTCTTAAAATGTATATTTTACAAATCTCGATTTGTGCATGTCAATTTTGACAGACATCAAGACAATATTCCTCAGGAAATCCCTGGAATTATCGAAATCTGCTTTAACTAAAAGAAGCAAAATAGTTCTCTATTTTTACGAGGCCCGTGAGAAGAACGACTTGAAATTTGAGGTCCACAATTAATCAAAAGATTGTTTCAGCTATTTGCCCATTAGATAAACAAATACTCATTAACAAAGAAGGACGGTTATAAATGTATAAGTGAATGTACCTTATGTGTGCTTCTGAATTTGGATCATGCACTGCGCTTAATCCAGACACGATGAGCATCCTTTCGATTCAGGAAGGTTCTCTACCCCTTTGCATTCGCTCCTAAAGTGTGAGACAAAATTATTTACTTCAAGAAGTTATTACTGAACAGACTCACCGCAACATGGAATCTACTTGTTTTATATAATAAAGGAACAAAAAACAATGTTAATGACATCAGCAATAGATCATAAGTAAGAAAAAATCACAATGAATGATTATTGAATGATTATATATGGATAGAGAATTCTTTGCTGATGAGTACTGACAAGTATTATTATTCTTTAGGTCAGAAGCCTTTACCAAGAAAATAATTCATTACAAGTGGAAAACTTTCTTTTCTGGTAAGACTTCGTATTTCCACAATAGTCACTCCAACAAATTGTTTCCTAAATTATGTTTATTCTTTTTTTACTAACAAATAAGATAAGTCTGTCCCTAGTGCAGACATGGCTACTGTATGAGACAAAAAATGGGAAATATTTGTGCTATATACGATCCTGTCTGTCTGTTAACAGCGTGCAAAGAAAGTTGTGTCCGATAGCCCGGGTCTAGTGGATTCTATTCCTTACTTGTCCGATGGATAAGTGAAGCTTTTTGAGGAAATTCAAATTACAGAAGAATTGTAAGAGATGAAATTATCGCATTAGGTTCATTTTAACTTAATAGCTCATAGAAGTAATATTTTTTTTTGGGGGGGGGGGGG